TGAGCACGTGCCGCTTTGCGGCACGTGTAGCCAATCATTTGTCAAATTACCGTATTCGACAATTTGCCCAATATTGTTGTTATCCGGCAATTTATGATCATGATTGGTAGGGAGTTGCTCGCTGAGTTTTTTTTTTGAATACTGGAATAAACACAATTACATCGTAACACATGAAAAAAATAACAAGAAGAAATTTTTTCATGATCATAAGAGTTTACCGAATAACAGGTACATACCGAGAGATTTGTCTCCCGATTTGTACCTATTATTCATTGATTTAATCTGTGCATATATTTATTCTTCATGAGAAATTAAAAAAACTACCATATCCCGCGGATTACGGCATAATTCTGCACAGCTGTACAGAATTTTTAAAAAAACTGTGATTTGCCATCACTATAAAAATGTGCACATTGCCCTATAAAAAATTTTGTCCAAATTTTGTCAAAAAAATGTTCAGAATGGAGTCGATTTTCTGAACATACTGTATATTGTACTGATTTTGTACAATGTTCATATCTAACATTGTCGTCCAAAAATTTCTTTTTTTACTTCATGATATAAAAATTGTACAATAATGGTTTAAAATTCAGAAAATTGACCCCATTCTGAACATTTTTTCAGACAATGCCTACAATAATTAAATAACTTTTTTTATAGGGTTGTCATGAGCATACTTGTTTCATGGTATTGAATTATGGCTTTAAAATATTAGATAGACATTTTAATTAGTAAAAGATGATCAAAAAAAGTGTAATGTTTGTTTACTTAGCTTGGAATGTAGGGCAAAACGATCGATAAAATCGTGTGCATGTACTCACGTAATAATCGATCGAAAATGGGTAATTAATAAATGCCGCAAGGTAATATAAAAGTAAATCATAAGTAATCATGTTTACCATTTGGGCAGTCCCTAATTAATCTATAACAGCATGATGAAATGGTACATGAAAATCTACCCGCTCTCAGTTTTGTTTTTATCACAATCTAAACACAATCAATTAGGGATGGGTTCGACTACGAACGGCTACAATTATTCATAGCCAATTTGTTAAATACTGAGATGATTTTTTGTTCTTGAGCTTTTAATTAAAGTTGTTCGGAATTAAATTCTGTTCATCCCATCTTAGAAGTAGGAAGAGCAATACATTCTCTGGAACTCAGAAACTTAAGATTTGTTAACGTCATAGCTGGCTACTAACCGCTGGCTAATAGTCGGCTATGACGTTAACAAATCTTAAGATTCCGAGTTCCAGAGAAGGTATCGCTCTTTCTACTTCTAAGATGGGGCGAACAGAATTTAATTCTGAACAATTTTAATTAAAAGCTCAAGAACAAAAAATCATCTCAGTATTTAACAAATTGGTTATGAATAATCGTAGCCGTTCGTAGTCGAACCCATCTCTACAATCAATATTCTCTTCTGCTTCCTCATTTCACACTTTTCTTTCTTTTAATTGCTTCGCCAGAATTAACTATTTTTCTACACTCGATATATATTACCTTTCTCCTTCCTACTCTCTCTTCGTCTGTATCAAATAAAATCGTAACTATCATATTGTGAGTTCTATTTAAAAACCGATTAGTTAATTTTGTATAGTTCAACTATTCGATAATGTAATTTCATATATCTTAATTAATTAGTACTCAATTTACTTTATATAAGTTTGGATCATACTTCTGTTCATGGTTTTGCGTGAAACATCACACAACTACTTATGCTCATACAAATTGAAATAACATAGTAGTAAAACTGCTTATAATATTTCATTTATAAAAAATACCGAGAGTGGTAATTATGCAGAACTTATTAATATCAGTAAGGTGAAATTATATAATATTAAGAGTTGCTATCTAATTATTATAATACTAACCCATTTAGCTAACTGAATTATTTTTAAAATAGAATGATACGTCTTAGAACTTTAATAATAGAGATTTATCAAATAAAATAAATTGATTTTGACTTATATAAATGCTAACAAAAAATTGTTCAATAATAAGAAATCATATACAAATAATAAAACTAAAATATTCAATAATAAGAAAATTGTTATACAAATAATAAAAGAATAACAAATATATATCAATCGTTATAAGAAAAGAAATCAGTTATTGCGACCTGTTTTTTTGCTTGAAATTCAAGCCTCTTGATTATTTTAAGATGTTTTTTAAACATATTTATATCTTCTATCTTGAATTCATCAGTTTGTTGTTGCTCACAAAAAGTTATCCACGTATATAATGACTTTCTTGCATCGCTCAAAGATATCAATTCAGGCTCCTCTTCAGAATCATCAGAATGATTTGGATCATCATCTTTGTTACGCATTTCGTTTTGAATTAAATCTATAATATCATTTTCATTCAAAATATCTTCAGTCGGAATTTCTTCATCCAAACTATAAAAAAATTCATTTAATGCAGCTGATAATGAATTAGTATAAGGATCATTATTATTTAAATTATCAATGATCAATTGGTCAGTATTTTCTTTTTCATGAGTTAAAGTATCTTGCTGAACTTGCATTGCATCGAATATATCATTTTCAGTAACTATAGGTAATATGCCAGTTTTTTTCCAACAATTAGTTATAGTTACTTCAGATACATTACTCCACGCATCTGCTATATAGTCTATCGCATGTTTAATAGTTAGTTTGTTTTCATTTATATTCATGCCATCTTCAAAAAGATCTAAAATATAGCGACAATAAAATTGTTTATAGTGAGCTTTAAAACTTGCAATAATCCCTGCATCCAAAGGTTGAAGATGGCTTGTAGTATTAGGTGGTAAAAAAGCTACTTCGATATGAGTTAGATTAAGTCGTGAAGTAACTGGAATAGTATTTCTTTTTTTATTTTCACGTTTAGCACCTATTAATATTTAAGTTTATATATAGAGAAGATAAATATACTACCAAGAATTTTTATTTAATTCTAGATTACAAACTTTATAATTTGCAAATTTAAAAATTACTATGCAGCGCTCTATAAAGTTGTTGCACAATTCTCAAAAGCTATTTCCCGATAGGACACTTACTCAAAATCATATAGGTTCGGGTTAGCATTTAATTAGTTACATCTATACATTTTTAGCAAATTGTCAACCTTGTATGATATTGAGTAAGTGGCCTGTCAAAGAGATAACTTTTAAAAAAAACATACTGTAACTTTATATACAGTATTTTAAAAGCCAGGATAAATTAAATAAAATATTCAGGTATGTATAAAATGAAGAATACAATATAAGCAGTATACTAAAGGGAAAGTCATCGATTTAGACTACTTGATTAGTATCGAGATATTTTTTAAAAATATTAAAACTACAATTAAATAATATTCCAATACTATTAATGAAATACTTTTTTAAGAAGTACTATACACGGTGCTATATAGTATCTATTAA